GCTTCTTTCATAAACATTTTGTTACAGTGGGAATTGTGTCAGTGGCCCACAATAATGGGAAAATAACTTGTGATTAACTGGTTGCTAATTGAGTACTTTGACTTTTTTGCCAAATAAATTATATTGTAGAACGAAGTTTTCAAGCTTTTCCAGCACAGAGTGCTGCAGAGCAAACCACAGAGCAGGAAACCCTCATGCACCACCTCATGCACCTTTGGGTAAGAAGAGCCAAGACTGGTATGTGCAAAGCATCTTGGACAGAAAACATCCAGACAGTATTTTTGCAGCGTTCCTCTATGTGAAAGCTGAACAAGGCTAACGGAGCAGTACGGTTTTACTCTGGGATAAATTACTGTTGTTTGCTATGCAAATCTTATGATTGTAATTAGTCTAGGATTTGGACTGTTGTGTACACTGATCTTTGCTCCCTCTGCGCATGGGAGCTAATTCTAATGCTGCAAAACTGCACAGCAAATGTCAAGTGCTGCTCAGACGCCGATTGTTTCTTGCTCAGAGTGGACGTTCTAGAAGGAATGATTTACCTCTGCCTTCACAGGGGACATAAGTGTACCGCAGGCATCTTGTGGGACACTGAAGTGTTCAGGTACTGTAAAGTCTCTCTTGAAAGTAGACGTTGGAGAAAACGCAGGAAGGACGTTCTGATAGGCATCTAGTTTTTAGCAAACTGGTTTTAAAAAGGGATGTTGTGCTGCTGATTGGTTAAGGAGCTGGTGGCATGTCTGAGCTATCATGACAGTGATTGCAGTTCCTAGTATGGTTATGTATAGCTCCTGTTATCTCTGCAGCGGACTCTGTGTAACCGCAGCCTGTGGCTCCTTGCCCACGCTAATGAGCTCTCCCCGAGGCTGGGCTTGTGCCTGTGGGGGTGGCACACTACTCAACAGTGCTGCTGTTTTGGAAACCAGTTTGTTGACTGTGCTCAAGTCCAGCTTGTCCAAGCTGCTGTGCCAGCTTGGCTACTGTTGACTGCGGGAGCTTGTCCCCGTGCAGCATGGCTGGCCTCAGAGCCATCTGGAGGGCGAGGCAGGCTGGTCACTGAGGCTGCCAGGCTGTATAGTCTGAAGCAAAGGAGAACTGTCACCTAGACCTGGACTGGGGGGAATCGCCACCATGGTGAGGACAGTACAGGTGAGCCACATTCACAGCCCATTCTCCTCCCTGAGAACACGGCTATCAGCGTTCGGTCAGCTCATGGGGTCGGAGTGCATCCTGCAGGCAGTGGGTCTCACTTTTCTGATGACCCAAAGAGCTAGGGAAAGCCATGGCTGGTGCCAACCATGCCTCTCAATAGCTGGGAGAAGTGGGAGCAGATTCAGGCACAGGGATACCAGGTTTTGGGGTATACCCTCCTGTTAGCCCCTCCAGAGGCAGTTTGCAGGGGGTGAGCACCTTGTCCTTGCAATTAAGGTGGTGGCTGCACACCTGCAACCTGGTTGGAGTCGGCACCTGCACCTGTGCCAGGCTCTCATGTGTGCCTGTCTCCCCACTGCTGCAGCGAAGTTCAGCAAAGTAAAAGTCTTAACAGCTACAGGATTTATTAGCTTGTGTAGTTGAATCTATAGACAGATAAAAGGGCACGATTTGGAATTTTTTCAGAATCACTGCAAAGACAGAGAAAGAATGAAGAAATACCCTCTAGGGGACAATATAGCACTGTTATTCTAAAGGTATAGTAAATGACACAATCTGTTTTTTAACAGCTTGTAACTCCTGTGAATCTCATTTATTTCTTTTTGTTCCCTACTCATCTAAATCACAGCAAAGCAGAGGAATGGTGGCAGTTTTACTTTTTCTTGCATGCTTGCACATGACCTCGAAGCCATTAATTTTGTTTGTGTAAATACAGTTTAAGGGAGCAAGGAAACTGGAAAAGCATTGAGGTACTAAAGTGCCCAATAAAAAGCAGAAAAAAATCTTCTTCACAGAAAATGATTTTTTCTAAACAGGTGTATTTTATTTCTAGTGCTAATACAACAAAAGGTGTGTCGTTTCCATGGCTGGATGCTTGATATTTCAAAACAGGTTAGAGTGTGTTCTGAGGCTGTTGTTGAAAAAAATGCAGTTTGCCTAATTAGTCAAGTTAAAAAGGGGTATAAAATCTGTGTAAGCTTTGCAAACCAGTGCCATGCTGCAGCTACATATACATTCCTTCACCAATGGCATTGGTAATTTAGCATTGAAATACAAAGGATCATGACTTGATCTGTAGTTATCTCAGAGGAAGATTGTAAACTTGACGGTTTTGCACTGTTAGTTTTGGGGAGAAAAATTATGAAGATCCCTGTTCCCCAGGACAGTCCCTTTATTCTATCTGCAGTGCTCCAGTCCTGTGATTCTGGTACACCTGGCAATTTTCAGAGCACAATAAATTCTGAGTCAGGGTACTAACATGTTGGTGTGGAGTCAGAAATACTGTGCAGTGAATGTAATACCAGTATACCTCTTAAATAACTTAAGTAATCTAGTTATCTTCAGGTCTCATATAAAACAAAACAAAACAAAAAAACATAGAAAATCTTAGAACAAGCCTTGGGCAGCTCTGGATATTTCAAGGTGTCGTGCAGCTATGCCAGGTCAGAATCCCAAGCCATGTTAGCAAGGTGCTTAAAAGCACTTCCAACTCTGCAGCTAATTTCATTCAGGACTTTGTCACGCAGCTTAGATGTGCTACCTGGGGAGCCATCTGTGGGGCTGCTAAGCTCAGTGGCATGCTCAACACCTCTTCTGATGCATAGCAGTCACTGATTTTAGAGGAGTGCCTACCCGGTACCCACGTGTGTGAATCATTTCAGACCTTATGACTTGGATCTGGAGGACCAAGGGGGGTTAGCTAATGGAGCACTACTGCTGAATTTGGAAGCCGATTCAAGGAATACCCTTTTGCCCTGCTTTCCTTTTCCAACCTACCTGTGAGCTGCCCACCCTGGGGCCTCTGCGGTGGGCACTGCCCTGGGGAGGCTGGGAGGTTTGCTCAGGAGCTTGGTAGTGATGAATCACAGAGGTATGGCATGGATTGATAAGGTCGTGTACTTTACGATTAGACACATCCTTCCTCTAACAGCAGTTCTTTGTCTCCATTTTGCTTTTGGTAATGTGTTTTGGCAGTTTGCATACAATGACTCTCCAAGCGGGAGCTGTTTGACTTGAGACAAAGTCACTATTATTCTAGGTAAGCTCAGGAAGCCCTCCTAATTTTTTTTTGTCCTCAAAAGGGTGTCTTCTGGAATTTATTTAAAAGCCAATTAAGTTAAATCACCAAGGAAAGTTTTTTCTTGGAGCCTAGCTGTAAAGGAGTTTCAGGCACACAAATCAGTGTATAACAAGAAAAATCTGTTTTGCAGCTGTATTGTTAGTTTTTGTGCATTTTAAGTGAGGGCTGTAGAGATGCATGTTCTTTATCTGTAGCACTATCAAAACAAGTAATGTACTTCAGCTACTCGTAGTGCAGGTGTGCAGTCTGGAAGCCATGGCAAAAGAAAAGTTATATGGTCTCCAAATTATTGAAAAATACAGACTATTGTAGTGCCTGCAACCTGATGCACACACAGGTCTACCTCCTCATTTAAAATTGATGGAGAGCCCAAAGAACTGGGTAGGAAGACTTCTGGCTTATTTGAGAGATTTTGGACTAGACTATCACGGTGTATAATTTACTCAAGTGCCTATATGTGTTTGCAAATGAAAACCTTTTTGAGCTACTCAGAATATGACACTTATGGTGCAACTGTCCTTTCTCAAAAACATCTCCGATGTCTCCCCAGGCAAAGTCTCCTGAGCTTTCTATGCTTCTCTTGACCTCTCCTTGGTTACGAGCCCCTGTATGTGGTGAAGCCTCACCTCTCCTGCCCCAGTCTCTGCTACAGCGTCCTGTGGCTCCCTTGGACTCTCTTGACTGTGCTGGCTCCCCTCCTCTGCTCTGTATTGTCACTTACTGAATAGACTTGCTCAGCAGAGTTTTCAGAAGGAAAACAAAAAGAGGTAGTCATGGATGACCAATACCAGCTTTTCCTTTTAACTCAGTCGTAAAGCACTGTTGGCTCACTGGTTTGGTTTCTACTGTCTATAAAAAGGGTTTGTGCAAGAAGTCCCCTTTTTCCCATCGCCCTGTGTGACAGCAGTGCCGAGATGACCTTCTGCTGTAAAGTCTCATTGCTCAGTTGTGTCGCTGCTCAGTATGAGTTTCCCTGGCAACCAGTTTGAGCTGCACTGAACCAAAAATATCTCACTGTGCCGGGCGAAAGTCAGTTTGCAGACATGTATTTCTCTTTAATGACTTCTCTGGATGGTCCATGTGTTCAACCTGCATATGTCATCATTGGGAACCAGCGACTGGGAGATGTGTTGTGCCCCTTTTCCTCCCTCCCATAGGCAGCGAGGTCTACAAGAAGGCTGCCCTTGTGTGATTGACAACTGAGTTGTGACTGTAAGACTCATCACACTTATTTTTCATGGTACACTGTGGGTCTTGTCTTCTACTGAGAATGGTCTGTGCAGCAAACACAGAGTCTTGAATTCCTTGGATCTCTGCAAATTGCAGGATTACATAATCACAGAATGGGTAAGGTTGGAAGGGATCAACCTTACTGTGTTGTTACTAACAGCCTTGTCCTTCTCATTTCTGGTGCATTTCATATATGCACCTTGATTTATAGGTGGGCGCACAATGAGCTCCAGTTTTGCTGCTGTCTCAGTCTTAAAAGGCACAGTTTGTGACATCTCCAAATGAACACATGTATAAATCTTTGGAGGTCAGGACCTAGCAATTTGCACACGAGACAATGCACAAACTGGAGGTGTAATTTCAAACCTTCCTAATTCAGTTCTTGCAGATAATCTTTTCACTAATTTATGCAGAACACTGGTGTGAAGAAAAGCATTCGTAATTCCAGATGTGTTCTCAAGATGACAAAATAAGAGGAGATTAAATTTGAAAGTAATATGCCATTTTTAGTAACAGGTTCCTTTTTCTGGGTTTGTAGGGTGTGAGGATTGCGGTAGAAGCCTTATAGGAGAATGCAAACTCCACGGACCACTCATCAGGGCTAAAGATAGGGTTATTCCCAGCCGAGCCCGTCTCACCCTACCTCACTACCTCACTTTGCGAGTGTTGGAGCTGCGAGCTGGAAACCAGCAGAGTAAGTATTTTAGCTCTTTTTCCCACGTTTGAGAAAGAGGAGGCAAAAGTACTAACACTGGCTTGTTTTCATGAGTAACTCAAGGCATAATCACTGGGCATTAGCAGTATGAAGACTATTTTCAGCTGGGCACAGCTAAAGCTCACAGTCAGCTACTGTTTTTTATGACTGATTTCTAGTAACTTAGAAGCACAGATTGATGGCAGGACATTAGCCAGAGCTGATGTGACATTCAGCTGTGAGCAACCAGTTAGCTCTGTTCAGTCAATTCAAGTTTAATGAATGTTGAATTTGTGTCTAATAGTAACAGCCATGCACTATTACTTTTTTTTTTTTTAACCCCAAGCATGCAAAACAGGAAAGAGTATTCAATATAAAGTCAGAAACAATGGTAAATGATATCACTCATTCAGCCCCTGCAAATGCAGAAGATCACAGTGGGGTAATTTACATTTTGCAGCATCTTCAGTTCATGCTTTGGAAAGACTGTTGTTTCCGTCTGAAGGCAAGGCAATTCAAATGCCCAAACTGGAACAACGAAAAGATGTCCTTAGTGTACAAATTTTCCACAGGTACTTGTGTAAAAGTAGTCCTGCCTAGATTGCATTTCAGAAAGAGAATGACAAAATGTCTATTCTGCCACTCCATTGATATGAGTGTTGCAGAATAATGTTGTGTTTTTATAGATCCTCTCCACTGATATTGGGAGAGAACAACCTCTCAGATTATGCCAACAAGCAGAGCACTATAATAACAACAATTTGTAGATTGAAGAGTAGCAATTTGTGTTGCATACTCAGTTTAATGTCCTGTCATGGACTTCTGGCACTTTTGCATTCGATGTAGCACCCATTTTTAAAGAAAATATCAGTACCTATTTACATCCTTTTTAGATTCTTCACATTAGGGCTTACTTGTCTAGAAGAAGAATCCATGTGTTCTGCACTGTTTGTTTATCTCCATTTTTGCAGCTGTAAACATATAGGAAATAGTTTGTGATGTCTATATTAATATTACACTGGTCTTTTTTTTGTTCACAGTCCTTGGTGTATTTGCAAAGAAAGTAATACAGAAGCGAACACAGTTTGGTCCTTATGTTGGTCAACTGTCTACAAAATTGACCTGCTATGATGAGAGCAGGCTAGTCCTGCAGGTAAAAACCCACTGACATTCTATGAAGTGCATATGTGTCTTTAGCAGTTCACGTGTATTTATATATTTTAGTCAGTCCATTTGCCAACTGATCTAGTTAATTAATTGTACTTTTGATCTGTAAGTATGAATGTAAATCACATTATTAGGCAATACAGCATAACCTGAAGTACCAAAATGTTCCTTTATATTGTGTTTTCTAGAAGTTTGCTTTTCTGCTTTTTAGTTTTACCATTTCTAGGATGTTGGACCTATCAGTCTAACAGCTTTTAGAAAACTTTTCACAGAGCCTGGCTACTAAACTGTCTTCCCAGATAAGACAAAAGGGTTTGTGCTTTATACCATGCCACTGGGAGGTTTGAGTTTGTGCACTGGATTAGCGATGGTGGCAGAAATATTCATTAAGGCACTTGCTTAGTAGGGAGAACAGTGCAGGGATGAGGAAACACTTCTTAATAATGTGTTAATTTATATTATATATAAACTTTGACACACAGTGCACTATTCCGTTTATTTAGTCAGATTGTTTTCTAGTGCTGGTACCATCTGTTGCTGCACATGCAGATTCTAATCATCTCATCTGGACCATGACGCTATTGTTCATACTTTATCCAGCAAAAATAGTGACTTTACAGGACTAACCTAGCTTAGGCAAATCTACATGCACATCCTTTACCACAGGAATTCCTTGGGAGTGATAGCTGATCATAATCCTCTAGGTTCCAGCCTTTTCATTTTGCTGCGTGGGGTCATGCCTGGGCACACCTCTTGTGTCGTACAGCGAGTCCATTGTCAAGTCACAGCCTCTGTCAGGACTTCCCAACTGGTCACGGTTCTTCCAGAGTTTGCTTTTCATATCAGGCCCTCTCGTGCCCCAGTAGAGAGACACCAGCAGCAGCTGTCCTGTGACATGCTTTGTCTTTCTATGAGCTTTCTCCAGAAGCTCAGGAGTGGAAAACAGTGTGTGTTGTGAAGGAAATACTTCCATAATTTTGTTTGAGAGCAAAAGTAATAGCTCCAGTAGTTGCTGTAAACTTCATTTGCACATGGAAGTCATGGGAATGATCTGCCAGGGGAATAATCTGTGGGATTTTCATGGCATTTTGTCACCAGAAAGGATTTACTCTTCTCTATAATGAAGTTTCTTCAGTCTTTTTATGAGACACTGTAATTCTTACAAATGCAGAAAACGTACTGCTCTAACAATGGATGGATGAGCTAAGCACCCAGTTCCTTCCTCTTCACCAAGGCATTGTAAACCACACCCTATCCTCTATCACTCAGCACCGGTTGCTTAAAAGTATACAGTGATAAGCACAGCTCTGGCTGATGAATGGACTGTTTCTTCAGAAGAGGAGATTAGAGTCCCAGATTTCCTACATGACAGCAGTAGCTGCCTTGACTTCTCCCTAGCATGAGTATGTGACCAAACTTGTCCAACAGGCAGGTGTTTTCATCGGAAATGTGATGCAGTTAGATAAAATAGTTCCCAGAGGCAATGGAAATGCAACTTTTTTTTTGCAATTAATTGCTCAGTTACATGGCTAGTAGAAAAGACACGTGCTGTGCTCACATCTGTTGTGCAGCTTCCTTGGTCCATGTTTGAGACACTATTGCAGAAAAGCAACTGTCTTGTTGGAAGACAATAATATTTACCTCACAGAGGCATCTTCTTGGAAGGGAATCTTGGACGAATGAAGTAAAGCAAAAAAAAAGAGATCTTCCTGGCACAGTTGTTCATTTGTATTTACTTTTGCTTGTTAAAGGGAAAAAGAGAAGACTGTTAAAATGCCATTATATTGTATGTTACCTCTCTGAACTTATTACACAAGTTATACAATTGTTCCATGCAAAATGTAGCAGCGCTGAAGTTTGAGATTATCAAGTACTCAGGAAGTAGATTAAGGCATAAAGCTTATCTTTCTACCTGCCTGCACTTAGTTCTTATAATATTATCTCTATATAACATAAAAATGATGAAATATAAACTGGAAATACATACAAAGACCTACAGTTATTTTAGTAGCAGGGTGTTCAGCAGGTATTCATTCTTCACTTTCTTTTGCACTTAGTATTCTTTAAGAGTGATCTATTTCAAAACAGCCACAATTTCAAAGGACATATGACCAAGACAAGGTAAATAACTGATAGCTGTGACTCCAAGTTAAAGAAAACTAATGTGCTTCTATGCAGGACTTGCTTTTATCATGTTCATTCTTCCCCTTTGTTTCAGGTTTTGAAAGATGGAGGGAAGTACTTTCTGGACACTCCCAATGAAGACTGTGGAAACTGGATGATGTTTGTCCGGCTAGCCCGGAACCAAGAAGAACAGACCCTTGTGGCTTATCAGCACTGTGGAGAAGTTTACTTCACAACAGTTAAGGTAGTTAAACTGACATTGCTTCACCTGTCATCCAAATGGAAATGTATAAGCAAAGGTTCTGAAAGACCAACTCTTTTAAAGATGAAAGACTGATTATATTCTGCCAACTGTATCTTTATTGCACACCACCTTTTATATCACTTAATCCATAGTAAAGCAAGCAGCGTATGGAGTTTTTCAGGGAAGGTGGTGTGTACCTGCTGTTGTGGGTAGTGAAGAAACTGAGCAGAGGGAAACATAAAAATCATTCATGATGGTGGTGTTTAAACTGCATTTAGTAAAGTTTCTCAGTTCCAGATATGTACCTGGTAAGATTGTCTAGCCTTGTTACATTTGACAGTACTTCATTCTGGAAATAACAAACACATTTCCTTTGCTTCATTACATTTTTAGACGTTTGGTGTTTTCTGAGCACATTACCATGTGCTCAGGAACAGGGTGTTAAGCAGAATCTTTATGTACTATTTTCCATGCTCATTAAAACTGAAGACTTAACTGCATAACTAAGCAATAACTTAAGAACATACAACGTTGCCATGAAATGATCAGTTTATGTTAGAGATTCTGGACTGCATCTTTATCTGTGGAGAGAGAACAAAGTGGTCTCTATTTATAAATAACACTGGAACATACAGTCTATTTAGCTGTTTTGGCCACTTTCTCAGGCAAAGTTTGTTTTAATCAGAAATAACTTTCTTGAATACTTGGGAAACTGAAGTCTATCTGTTGAGCATAATGCTTGTGTATCATTATGAACAACATTAAAATTTAAAAAAAAAATAAAAAGGAATGGATATTAGTCAAAAGAAGTTACTATGCAATTAAAATCCAGCATTTCCATTTCATTTGACACACATTTCTGTGGCATAGTAGTGTTTAGTGTTGTTTCTCCATTTTTGTTTTTTCACCTGTCCAGTGAGGAAAAATATTTACTGCACAGTGATGCTGAGAGAATAAGTCAATAGTGATAACTTTTCACACCCTCAAAGTAATTTATAACAGCATGAAGTATATTTGGGGTTTGATTAATATTAAAATAATTATTAGGGGGGAAAAAAGAAAAATGGGAAGCAGTATATGCTATTTTGAGACATATTTAGTCTGTGTTTGAGATTCTCATGCAGTCCATACCATTTGAGATTTCAATTTGATTTTAAGATTACTTGTAAGATTGACAGGATTACTAGTACTGTATTTGGGAAGCATGAACTTTTCTAAGAAGTAGTTGTTATGAACTGGTAACTTACAATTTCCAGTATAATTCAAGTACTATTGAACCAGCTCTTTGCTGACTTCAGCAGAATCCTACTTATTGGCATTAATGGAGAGTTGCATCCTACATACCCACACAAAGATTATCCTAGGGTTGGGCATGTGTCTTGGAACCTTTACTGTGGTGTGTATCATAGGGCATGACTTGGGTTTTATTTCTCCTGAATCCCCGTATCATTCACGGTACTGTGTCATCCTGCAGATTTTGTCCTGGTCAGTGAAAACAGTAGCCTTGTGCTACAGTTCAGCACACCCTTCTGATCATGCCCTGAGGCTACCTTAGGGCTGACTGTGAAGATATTTTCTCAAGATATTTTTAATGAAGTATGTTAAGTTGGGGGCAGGATCGGCTCCTTTCCCCGCTGTTTTCACAAAAAAATAGGATTTTGGTGACGTGAAACTACACCTACTAAAGCATACATATAAGTGTCATACTAACAGTACCATTAGCTTGCTTGCTGACCTAATGGCAGCAGCCCCTACTTTTAAAAGGTACAGAATTGTGAGGAAGTAAAAATCAGCCATGATTGCTGCTTGATCCCAGGATAGTTTCACATGGGCACTGCAGGAGCTTTCTTTTATTGTCACGGATGGCACAGAATAAAAGACATGGATTTGGATACTGGATTTGGATACTGGTGTTTAATGTCAGTTTTACTGAGATTAGAGCTCTTACCTTACTTGACTTTTCACACACTGATGCACTTGCCCTCCAAGGTCACATTGACCAAGTCTCAACTTCCCACAGGGAAGATGGTTGCTGGTCTAGTAATTTTGGGCAGAAGGTGATGACAGTGTCATGCTGCACAGTTGTTTGTGGGTGTCAGTCTCAGGTGTCACTGGCCAAGGTCGCAGGACATCCTCAGACTTTTGTACCTCTGAAGCTCCCCACAGCTTGCTTTTCTCCATCGACATAGACTATGTGGAGGAGCACAATGCATGATCAGCCTCGTAGTTGATGGCTTTGCCTCATGTCCTTAGTTGAGTGGAAAGTTCAGCATGTACCATTTTTGTTTAGGCCAGGTGTTATCAAAACGCACAACCAACCCATACTGACTATAGTTAGCAAGCAGGCTTGTGTTTGGGAGTCCAAAAATTCAGTTTTCAACATTATACACAAAATTATCCCTCACCTGTCAGCATTCACAATCTAAATTGTCTTTAACGTGCTTATCCCACACTGAGGTTATAAAATCAGTGCATTTTATAATGTCACATTTTGTAGAATAAGACTCAGTTGCTCTCCTTCTGGGCTAGTTTGTGGGTTCTTTTGGTGACACAAGTTTAGCTTAGTTAAAATAAAACTACAAACTACAGTGCAGTTTGGCTCTACTCCTGTAGCAGCAGTGTTGGGTTTTATTATAGATGAAGAAAATTGTGTACAGGGTCAGGGAGTCATATAAATCATGACCCCAAAGTTTAGTTTTCTCCTTTGCTTTTAAAGAACTAACAGATCTTTAACCAGTGAGCGTAATCACTCCTCTCTACTATTTGCTGTATTATTGACTGAAAGTATTTGTCAGAAGAGGTCATAGTCCAGTCTAAGGAAAGATTTGGGCAAGCATGACTGGATGGGAGACTGCAGATTATGGGCTCCCTTAATCCCGTGAGGGGGAAGGCTTCAGTGGAAGGAGGGGAGAGTAACAATGAAGCACACACTTAGTGAGCCTGACACATCAGAGCCAGCACATGGAAACATGCCAATTTGAGTGGCAGTCCACATATTGATCAGCTCTGCGCCCACTCTCAGTGTGACATATCCAGGAGGCATCCAAGCTGTTGTGCATTCATGATGGGTTTTTCCTTTGTCTGTACGCTGTAGTTAAGTGTTGTGTCCAGTGGGCTTCCAGACATCAAGGAATGGGCATAGGATATTGCTTGGAAAGACTGCTGGATGTGTGAACATCACAGACAAATACATCTCACTGAGCAAAGGTCATGAGGATTGAGGCATCCCTCCTGCTATTGTCCCCCCCCCACCCCAAACCTCTGTGCCTGTGCAATTCTGCTTTTAGAAACAGAAAGTGTTAAGCCCTAGTGGGTAATAATGCTCAAAAAGTGCCTGCATCTTGAAACTAAGTTACCAGTAATTTAGACAGAGTCAAAAAGTGCAATTTGGGTTAGGACAACAACTTGCACACCCCAGTCTTCCATATTATTTGGTTTAGGAAAACAGGCACAAGTAAACATGTGCTATATATCTTTTCCATTCACAGCCAATTGAACCCCACACAGAATTGAAAGTATGGTATGCTGCCGATTATGCCAAATTTATGGAAGCTTCCGCAGTCTGCATTAAAGAAGAATCAGATGTCTGTCCCGTGCTTCCAGTTGCAGTAAGTACCCCTAATCTGCATTCAAACCATCACTATACATAGTAAATTATAGTTTATTTACATGCTTTCTATGTTTATATAACTCTGGTCATGCAAGGTTAGACCATAGAGTAGCTGGCTAACACAAAGCCAAGAGCAATTTTAACCAAACAGCTACTCAGAGAAAGGCTGCTGTTTCTCTCCTATGTTTGTAATCCAGTGGAACCATTAGATGTAGTCAGAGGTAAGTGGCACCGCTCAGTGTATTGGGAAGACTAAACATTGGCATTAATTCATGCATAACCAAGCCGTCCAGCCTCAGACTTCTTTCACCATTTCCCCTTGTTATACTCTGACCAATTGGTCAGATTATCCGCTGATTATTTCAGTCTTTCCTGTGCAACAACCCTTCTTTTCTAATCTCAATACCTTCCCCTCTGATAGGAGAGATAGGAAAACCTTGTAAAGTGTTGAAAACATGGCTGTGAAAATTGATACTTAAGCTAGAAGGAAACGTGAAACAGGGAATAAAAATGAACTGGGAATTCATGCTCCAAGAAGGCGTATGAGGCCTTCAGAGTATGCCAGAAGGAGGGTGTGGGAGAGCCACAGCATCAGACATGAGTAACAGAGAGGAGGGCTCAGTCTGGAAATAAAGATGGAGTGGACACAGCCTCACCATGCTCTCCAGAGCAAGCTAGCCCAGGAGCAAGGGAAAGTAAAGTCAGTTTATAAGAAGCTTACATAAAAGGTAGACACAGCTGAGGAAGTACTGGGGTCATGTATTAAGTGGAAGTACATTTTGTCAGTGACTGGAATTTTTTGGTATCTGTTTTTCATTAGAAATTTTATAATGCCAGTATTTAAAGTGAATTCAACTGAATCCAATAGAGCTCTTATTTCCAGAGAAACAATACTTCCAAATAATATGCTGTATAAAAAAACCACCAAACCCCAGAAATAATTTAATGGCTCTAATTCAGGATAGGCTTGAGACTATAGCAGGTTACGGGGGGAGCTGCTGCAAGACCCAGTGGCACATTTTGCATTGGGAGATGGGACACACACTCGAGAGATGTGACCCACAAAATGGCCATTTATTAAAACAAGATGACAGTTTATATACAGGGGAATACAGAAGGTTCAGGAATAGAAGGTAGGACCCTGGCTAGGAACATCAAATCCTGAGAGCTACTGATATGGGGCTTGGAAGGATAGGCTGTTGGGATATGTGAGGTTACTTAGGGGGAAGGGAGAGCTAGGGGAACAATGGAAGAACTGTCCTGGGTGCACGGACAGGGGAATTTGCTGAGGGTGCAATGCTGTGGCCTTGTAGCTGAGCTGGTTCCCAGGCAGTTCTGCACAGCTGAAGTTGCTAGAAGTCTTCTAGAGAGATCTCTTCTTCTGAGCCTTCCTTGCAGTGCTTTTTCATCTCTCTCCACACTCTGTAGGCCTCTTCTGGTCCACCCCCGGCATGAGAACACTAAAACCTAAAGTGTTTCTTATCAGGTTAATGAAAATCTAATGCCAAATGTCAAGCTAAGTGAGGAAGCCTCTCCTGGAGACATTGATCATTGCTGTCTGGTAAAGCATGGAGTCCATCCAAAACACAGGGAAATCCTGTATGGCTAAACTACATTAGTATGCAGAAAATGTGAGGTTGCAATAGCAGATAAATTATGTCAGTCTAAGGATAAAGTACAGTTTTCAGCTTCTTTTAGAAGTAATTTCATAAATGCAACAAATGTAGAGACTTTGAAATTCAGTAAGTGCAGATAAACAAAGGTGAAGGGCTTAGGACTGTTACAGTAAATGCTAAACAAAACCATATAAGTCAGTATTTAGCCAACCTTTTTTTTTCCTTCAAGTTTGTGTTCTTAGAGAAAATCTATTGTCAGTTGAACAACTGTGTGATAGTACATAGAAGTAACTATTGCCAAAGACAAAAATTGATATGGCAAAGCCCAGGAGAAGATCAGTGAGAAGAACATGACCTTTCCTTAGAATGGCTAATAAGAAAGAACTGTTTGTATTCTTGTTGCAGAAAGAGCCTGTAGACCCTCGGATATGCTCCAGTTGTGGCAGCACTTTTGCAACTTTTTCTCTGCTGGAATCTCACCAGTGCATCCATAAAGACCGAGTCCTTCCTACGAGGTTCAGACCACCAAATAAATTGGGACCTGTAAAAGCAAAAAGCAAACTCAAAGGGAAACTGAGAGGAGCGTCATTAGGCAAAAGCATTACTCAGTGCTTTGGGACCGTTTCCTGTTCCTCTGCTGCAAAGTTTGGCTGTGCCAGCTCAGGAAGCACTTGTGATGCACTCGTGAGGTTTATACCTAAATGGAGAAATGGTCGGTCTTCACTGTTGAAGGGAAAAGAAGTGAAGCAGCCGGACAGTTACCCTTGCCGACTCTGTGGGAAGATATTTGATTCCATTGATAAGCTCACAGTCCACACTTACACGCACAAAGGGGAGCGTCCCTACAAGTGTTCACAGCACGGATGCACGAAAGCCTTCATTTCCAAATATAAACTGCTCAGGTACAGCTCTGAAGGCATTTCTTTTCTGCTGGATGTGGGGGGTGTTCTAGTGACAGTTAATCCCTGAGTTCCAGGTTTTATTATTCCTGTTTGGGTAGAATTGGAGAAAACTAGTTTCCCTCAACTGTGGTAAAGATTATGTTGAGCAGTTTTAATCTCAAAAAGATTGTGTTGAGCAGCTTTAATCTATTCTATGCTTTATGATTAAAACCTTCCTCTCCCCCCAAAAATTTAGGGTTTTACTAATAACCTGAGAACTTGAAAAAAGGCTTTCCTTCAAGGTTGCCAGTGTTTTCAAGTCTTGAATCTGCAAGAGTAAATGTGCTAGAATAAATGTAAACACAAATAACTTTTTAGTGTGTGTTTTCTGTTTTTTTGTCCTAGGCACTCTGCTACTCATTCTCCACAGAAATCTCACCAATGTGGCTACTGTGAAAAGACCTTTCACAGGAAAGACCACCTAAAGAATCACCTTCAGACTCATGACCCTAACAAGATGGCCTTCAAGTGTGAAGAGTGTGGCAAGAAGTACAACACCAAGCTAGGCTATAAGAGACACTTGGCTCTTCACGCTGCCACCAGTGGGGACCTTACCTGTAGGGTATGTGCCCAGGAGTTTGGCGGTACTGAGGTTCTGTTGGAACACCTCAAAAGTCATGCAGGGAAGCCAGCTGGCAATATGAAGGAAAAGAAACACAAATGTGACCACTGTGAGCGTCACTTCTATACCCGTAAAGATGTGCGGCGTCACATGGTGGTTCACACAGGCTGTAAAGACTTTCTGTGTCAGTTTTGTGCCCAAAGGTTTGGGCGGAAGGACCACTTGACACGCCATACCAGGAAGACTCATCCACAAGAACTGCTAAAGAGCAGGCTGCAGAACGGTGAGTCAGTGGGTCTCCTTGACCAGCTTTTTCCATACAGGCTGAAGGAAGATGCCAGCATGCTGTCCCCTCTTCCTGAAAGGGTCTCTATGCAGAATGGTATTGTGAATAGTTCAGAATCAGAGGAATACAACTGTTCACATCTTCATTCCCAGCCAAGCTTACAAACTGCTCTTCCTCTTGAACCTTCTCCTCAGTTGCAAAGGATGGGCTGCACAGACAGCCTCCCAGCGGTCCATCCCACACCGTGTTCAACAGCCATCCCTACCAACCTGAACCTTCATCAGCCTAATAAATACGACCTTAGTTCTACCTCACTTGCAGCAGGATCCCTCAAGAATCTACCAATAAAAGTGGATGTTAAAGGTTACAACGTGCATCTTCTCGAGGACCTGCCATTACCAGAACCTCAGTCTCTGCACAAAATCAGTATGGAAGAAGATTCCTCAGGGCCTGCAGGGGATACTAACAAGTACCCAGTGCAGAAAGAGACAGAGGCAGCAACTGAAACTACAGGCCTGCCTTTCATGGATCTCACTCACGTGATGAGTTTCTGGCAGCTCCCACCAGGTGACAACCAGAACACTATTGGGGACTTCACAATGGCCTTTGGCCCAGAGGAACCATCACACAGGCTGAATGGCCTCGGCCAACAGCAAGGTCTTCAGCTAGCAACTGGTGGGATGGCCATAAACCAGCTGCATCATTTTCCTCGCTCCTTTCCATCCACTACAAATTCTGTAACCTTGCCTCATTTTCACCATGCCTTCAAGTAACTATCACCCTGTGTGGGGTTTTTTCCTTTTTTTTTTTTTTTTTTTTTTTTTTTTTTTTTTTTTTTTTTTTTTTTTTTGAGACTGTGCTTCTTACTTAAATCTTTTAGGATGGGGTGGTTTTGGTTTTGTTTTGTTTTTAAGAAAAACTGCCCCAAATGTTTTCAAAGCACATTATGAACATGGTAGTTAAATTCAGGATGTTAATAAATAAGAAGCTCTATTTTTCATACTACTATTAGTTTTTTTAGCATGTGACAACAGTAGAACTAACATATTTCCCTCAGCTCCCCCTATATTTTTGTTGTTACCTTTCATAAAAACATCTGAATAAATATCTTCAACGGTAGAAAAGTATCATAACAGGCACAATAAAACTATGGCTGCTGCAGTAGGAGAAATATGGTTAGGGTGAATGGGAAGAAGGGGGAAATCACAGAAAAATCATTTTAATGAGCCATAAATCACAGCAAATGTGTACACATAGCAAATGTAACAAATGATTTATCAACATCACATAGATTATTGTTAAGTACTTAATGAAGTTTATTAATCTTTAATTTAAATCGGAATCATTCCAAGAGTAAATCTTACCTCCTTGGTTCCCTTTTTTCAAATGAATATCATCACTGTTATGATTATGTTTAACTAGATTTTGTTTTCTGACACACAGTTCAACTGTGTGCATCTCATGCCTTTTTCCTTGGGCTGGAGGTTGCTGTCACTTCTGAACGACTATGTAAAAACTGCTGTCTTGTATATGTGCAGTTTTCAGAATGGAAAGTGAATTGTCTCAAAGGTTAGAACAAAACTTTACTTTTCACTTAGTGCCAGATCTGCCAAGGTATCAGACACTGCTTTCTTTCTCTCCAGTAAAGCACTTAAACATTTGCTTAAATTAAAGCGTGTTATCCCGTTGGGTCAACAGCTTGATTAATTTAACATTTAATAAAATATAGTGCTTCCTACCTAAGGGGCCTTTATTCACCTTTTGTTGCTAAAAACGGCCTTTGTTTAGTCTGGGAAATTAATTAAATATTATTAAGATTTAATTATTAATAACAAATAATTATTAATTGTAACTTTCTGAAACATGGGCTTTCAGAAAGCCAACCCTGGCCCAGGGGAGCCTGCACCCAAGCAGGATCTCTCTGGGGCCAGGGGCATGTCCATGCACTTAAGGGCTGTGGTGGTGAGCTGACACTGGGCCAGGGTCAAAACCAGGGTCACATGTGTCACTGCCTCATACGTGTCACCGCCTCACACATGTCACCTGAAATTAGTGGGTGTGATAACAATTCAGGCCATTTTAATCACGGGATTTTTCTTCAGTAGCTCTGGGACAGCTGCAGTTGGACTTCCAGCCTTTGTTTTTTCCAAACCAAAACCATGGGGACTTCCGTTTTGTTTCCTGGGGTAAATTGTCCATGAATATTACCAGTTGACAATTTTGTTGGTGTGACAGTCCTAGCACCTGAGGCATGAACGACCAGAAATTGCAAAAGTCACATTTCTCGGTAGATGACATTATAAAAAACAAACAAACAAAAAAAACCCCACCACCAACAACAAAAACCCAAACAAAAACTAACAGTCAAACTCTTCACAATTTGGTTTCTTACCTAACCCTAGTTAAAACAAAATTAAAAAATCCTGGCTTTAATGAGTGATGCAGTTACTAATGGATTCTGTTGCTGCTAAAATGGACACAAAATTTCTGAATCTCAGTAAATTCTCAAACCCCAAGAGCTACTCTCCCATTAAATCCAAAAAGAGTTCATAGTACCTAATGAATATTACAAATATAGCATGAAACAAGCATGTTCTCCCTCATTAGTCACAGGAATGTTTTCAGAGAGCTTCAAATAAAAAATAGTTTTTAAGTTATTTCTGATTTGATGTTACTGAGCTACAGTGACATTGTACAACTACAATGATCCAAATATTCTTAGAAGCTTATTGGAACTTGGATTAAGGAAAGGTTGTATTATTACAGAGATATTATTATGCAAGAATATATTCTGCAGATGCAGTGCTGAGGGGTGTTTTTTGTTATGAAAATTCTTGGCATAAGGCAAACCAAAAGGAATCTTTATGATCATTCTTGTAATGACAACGGCAAGAGGAAGAGCAGGTACTGCACAGTCACACCCAGTTAAGAGTTATTTAAATTATGAGTTCCAGAACAGAGAAAAGGTTGTAATCAATGTTACATGCACATTCTACGGCTAGGCTCTTATTTTCATCTGGACTTGGAAAGGTGTGTGCATATTCACTTACTGCATTGTTTTCTTTGTTTGTGCAAACTGTATTCACTTGACTTCATCCAAGCTTATGTACCTGTAAAAAAAAAAAAAAAAAAACAACCACCACCAACTAAACCACAACAAAAAAAACCTATTCAATTTTGTAGCATTGCCTGATCATATACACATTTTGTCATTTTGATTTGTGCTTTTATAAATGGTGTAAATAATTATTGAAATACTTGTCCTTGAATTAAAGTGTGATGTTGAGAAGGAATCATTATGAAAACACAGAAACTGGCACCCATGTTCTTTCAGCTGTCTTTCAGCACTCTGTAGCAGGGTGCCTGAGCTCTGAGCTGTCAGAAGAGGTGCTGCTGCCTGACCTCAGCCTCTTCTGAAATACGGAAAGATGATTAAACAGCTGTCACCAGTGCAAATCTAGCTATGGGTTAAAGACCAAGTCTCATCCAAATAAAATGAAAATTGCCACTTTTGATGCATTGTAAAATGCTTAAAAAACACACAGTGATGGTGTTAGCAAGTAAAACACAGAAGCAAACCTTAAATGTGTAATGCTGCAGCTTTAACCTGTCAGCCCATTCAAGTTTCTTTTTCAGATTCTTGACATCATAAATGTAGCGAAAGCTGAGGACGTCCCATCACAAAGGAAGGCAAGCTATTTCAAAAAGTTATATTTTCAGAAAAATTGTTTTAAAGTGCTCTTAACTGAAGACATATAAGATACCCCCGAGTCATCTAATACTGTAAGTAGGGCTGGACTTTCTCACCACTTTTGCTAGGGGGACCTCTGTGACCATTTTTGAGAGGCCTCCAGTAGCTGAAGCTGAAGAATGCTTTGTTTCTAGGCAAACAATTTTTTTGGGCTCAGTAGACCAGCCTGGTGTTGGCCTGAATATCACATTGCTTAAAGAGTGATAGTTCTCTTTTGGGGCAGTGCCAAGGGAAAGGTGAGGAGACAGCAGCAAACTCACCAGCTCTCCCTGGGCTTATCTGTGGTGTCTGAGAGGATGGAGCTGCAGCAGGCGGGCAGACAGGTCTGATTTCAGGTAGTGACAGGGGAGAAGGCAGCAGGAGCTGCAGGACATGCAGCCACTCTGATGCCACTCATGCAGGGCTGTGACAGCACCAGTGTGAGGAGAGGCAGCCTCATGTACGCTAGGGGTACGGTGGGGGAAAGCAGCAGCCCAAGCAGTGTCCAATCCTCCCTCCTCTCAGGCACATCCAATTCCTCCTCTAAATGTGAGAGGAGAATCCAAGGGCAGAGAGCTGGCATGGAGAAGGTAAGATAGACCATGGAATATCAGCTAAGAGATGAAACATGGGAGATCTTAGGACATTGTACCACACATCCTAATAGAGATAAAAATACTCTTCTATCTAAACTCTGATTGAAAATCTGTAGAAGCAGAGCAGTATGTGGTTGTAAAACAGCAGAATCACTATAATCAAATGATACCATCAAATAATGAAATTTAGTAAACATTTGGTCTCACACAAAAATGTGTACTCATTTTATGAAAGAAAAAAAGGCATGTAAATCTGCTGAAATAATGTCAAGAAGCTAAAATTATACTACATGGAACAAAAGACTGCATCTTCTACATAAACACAAGTAGTTGTATTGCTAAGTTCCCATCCTCTCTCAGAAACCATGTTAAGTTCTTTTTCCTTCAGTTTTATTTACTAGCTTTTCCTGTTGGGACTTTCCATTTTCTTAATCAATGAGTTGCTCTTAATTCCAGAGAATTTTGCACTGCCAGTCTGAACTATGATGGTACATTCCAATATTAATGATTGGTTCATTTCTTACTAGTGGAATTTTTAAAGTTCTGTTCTTCAATACACTGTTTCTGCCCTTATATTTTTTGTAAGAGCTGGAAACTAAGCTGTGAAATCAAACACTTTTATACTCAGACAGAAAATAATGGAGGGACACACACAACAAAAAAAAATACAGTAAAACTTGCTCTAACTTTTGAGGATTCATTCATTTTTTAGTTAAAGAAAGCAACTGTGGTATTGCACAGGATAGTGGGGAATGTGGGGTTTTTTCCCCCTCTTCTTTCTGGATTGGAAGAAATGCTTAGCAGCACTGCTTTAGTATGTTGTGGACAGTGTCATGCCTGCTGTTTCTGAGTCTAGCTGTGGGCTTCAGTGTCATCCTTTCTGTATTTATCTAATCATTATTGGCTAGAGCCTGAGTTTAATTAAACTCTGTAAAGTCTGGTATTTCCTATTGCTGTGTCCAACTACTTTTCATCTTTGTTTACTTTATAAGTATTTAATAGGTAAGAAAATTCTTTATGGATTTTAATGGAAAGCCTTAATGAAAAATATTAAGCTAAAAAAACCCTACATGTTGCATCACTGAAAGTTTATGCAAGGTGATCCAAGGCTGACAGTGAACTGAGTCGCCAAAAAAATAAGAAGGGGTATGCCTCCACAATATTTCTGTCTTATTAATCAATTTCTGAAAGCAATTAAGGTGTTTAATGCAAGAATGAGATTTGGGTTTAGCCTGAACTTGAAGTGCATTGAAGAAGATGCACAGTATACATGACCATTTATCACATATCAATCACTATCATTAATCATTTTATTGTTTACTGAAAGATTCTATTAAATATTTACATGAAATTCCAGAATGTTCACTTGTCTTGTTCAGTATATCAAAGCATTAGGGGGAAGGAAAAAATCACATGGTACTGGATCTTTCTACATTTTGTTAAACCATTGAATGAACCCATGGTAATAGCCATCCCCTGCAGGCAATCATTTAATTAAATCTTGGCAACTGATACAAATACTCTCACAATCAATGAATTTCCGTTTGCTTGTTTTATTCAATGTGGCAGCTGTAGAACTTTAGGCAGAAGTGGTACTGAAAAATCGCGTTGCTTAAGATCTTCCATAAAGTGTCAGAAGAAAGCCTTAACACATCCTCGCCGACCAGCCACTCTATCTTCTGTTGTCCATTTGTGGTCTAAAAGCAGCAACAAGCCATATACTTGCTATTTCCTATTATAGAAACAGCTTTTATATTTTACTCCATTTTATCTAAGAAAATTAAACCTCTATCCTTGGGAAGGTGATGGAGCAGTTCATCCTGAAAACTATTTCCAGGTACATTAAGGGTGAGAACATTTATTTACACCACTCAAAGCCAGTTTCTCACATCTGCTTTCTCAGCTAAAAAAGTGCTCTTGAGTAGCACTGAAACTTGCCTGCACAAAGTGCTCTGTAAAGCAAAGCTTGGTGAAGCTCAAGTTTTATAGAAAATGCAACAGCTGCCAACAGCCCAGCACCTGCAAGCTCACCCAGGTCAGTCCTTTCCCCAGTTCCACTGTTCTTTATTTTGGGTGCTAGTGTGGATGCCTGTCCTGCGGGCTGCTGGAGGCAGTGGCTGTCCCAAGCCTCTGTAAACTGGCTGCAACTTACGACCCCAGTGATACCTGGACTCGCCGGTATTCCCTGGGGAAAAGAGGTGTCTCCTCCCCAAGCCTGCCAGGCCTCAAGTTTCAGAGTTCAGTGACTGAACCTTAAGAATGGTGATGGTATCAAAAAATCCCTGTTTCTGGTCTGCCAGACCCTGCATGATAACCATGAGACTTATTATACTGTTAACATAGTCACAGGTAATCTGGGGAGTGGAGAACGCCAGATAAGACCACTGGGTACTGACAACAGTTTTTCCTGCAGCTGGCAAAGTCACAGAGGTAGCTGGAGCTGATAATAGTACCATGCCCCTTGCAGTCTTCCCCACAACTGAAGGTACCCAGCACTGACCAGCAGCAATCAAGGACAGCAAAACTGCACTTAGAAGAACCCTGCAATGACTTTGAATGTGAGACTCTGTTTTGTGCACATTTCTCTTCATGCCATGCTCCAAGCACTCTCACAAGCTCATCTCCCAGGCTCAAAATGCCTTGCCAGCTATAAGGAATCATTCATGGCCACGTTTCCTGCTGGGATCTCATATTCTGCGGTTGTATACGTGTCACAGTGGTGCAAAATGCTGATCATCTGAGCCATCCCCTGGAGCAACAGCACCACGACCACCTCACACAGGGGCTGGAGGCCTTCTTGCTGCTCTGACATGGCTATGCATGGCCCAAGACAGGAACCCCACTGACTGCGTGGTCTGAGGAGCAGAAGCCCAAACATCATGGTCTGGGAAACTGTAAGACCACAAGATCTGCCGGAGAGGTTGGCATTATCAAGCAGCAAATTCTCTCAAGATGCCTGTTACAGCAGAGCACATTCACTGCCTACCTGAGATGGGGCTGATCCAGATGAAAGAACATTTAATTCCAAAATTAATTTCTCAGCAGCCTACACTGGGGGCCTGAGGAGCCCTGCAAAAGTTTCAGTGCAACTAATTGCTTCAAATAATACAAAGAAGCTCATACTGCAGCTAGATATACTGAAAAACACCTGAAAGACAATGCTGTCATTGGTCACAGCCAGCATAGCTTCATGAGAGGAAAATCCTGCCATCAAACCTGAATTTCCTTTAATGACAAGCTAATGCACCTACTTGATCAAGGGAAGCCTGTTCATGTAATCTTTTTGGATTTCAGTAAAGATTTTGATACTGTCTCTCACAGGATCCTTCTGGACAAAATTCCCAGCACACAACTAGATAAACACATCATGTGGTGGGTGAGCAATTGGCTGAGGGTTGAGCACAGAGGGTAATAGTGAATGGGGTGACATCAGACTGGGAACCTGTCACTAGTGGGGCTTCATCTTGGGCCCTGTGCTCTTCAACATCTCCATAAATGACTTGGACATACGACTGGAAGGGATACTGAACAAGTTTGCTGATGATACAAAACTGGGAGGAGCTGTTGACTCCCTCAAAGGCAGGGAGGCCCTGCAGAGAGACCTTGACAAATTAGAGAACTGGGACATCACCAACCATGTGAAGTTCAACAAGGGAAAGTGCCAGATTCTGCACCTGGGACAGGGCAACCCTGGATGTACGTACAGATTGGGGAGTGAGATACTGAAAAGCAGTGCCACAAAAAGGGACCTGGAGGTCCTGGTTGATGGCAAGATGAATATGAATCAGCAGTGCCCTGGCAGCCAGGAGGGCCAACCGTGTCCTGAGGAGCATCAGGCAAAGCATCGCCAGCCAGTTGAGGAAGGGGATTGTCCTGCTCTGCTGTGCACTGGTGTGGCCTCACCTTGAATATTGTGTGCAGTTTTGGGCAACACAATATAAGAAAGACATTAAGCTCTTAGAGACCATCTGAAGGAGGGCAACAAAGAAGGTGAAGTGCCTTGAGGGGAAGCCATATGAGGACCAGCTAAGGTCACTTGGTCTGTTCATCCTGGAGAAAAGGAGACTGCAGTTACAACTTCCTCATGAGGGGAAGAGGAGGGGTAGACAATGATCTCTTCTCTTTGGGGACCAGTGACAGGACCCAAGGAAATGGCCTGAAATTGTGTCAGGAGAGGTTTAGGTTGGATATTAGAAAAAGGTTCTTCACTTAGAGGGCAGTGAAGAACAAGCTCCCCAGGGAAGTGGTCACAGCACCAAGCCTGACAGCATTTAGGAAGCATTTGGATAATGCTCTCAGGCACATGGTGTGACTCTTGGGGATAGGCCTGTGCAGGGCCAGGAGTTGGACTTTGATGATCCTTGTGGGTCCCTTCACATCCAGCATATTCTGTGATTCTGTGATTCTGTGATACTGTATATCACAAAATCAATAAAGGCCCTTTTATGTTGTAATGTTGAAATTAAAAAAAAAAATCATTTCTTACCCAAACTTTCCTGAAGAATTTTTCCCAGTAGATAAACCCAAAGATTTTCCAGTCTTCTTCAGTACTTCTAAAGAGGTCTCTGCAGATCATTATTAAAAAAAATCATTGGCCATAAATCATGATAAACTATATAAATTCAACACAAACTCCAGAAACGTGGGGATCAAAGATACTGATACAAAGAGGAGTTTGTATTATCATTCACATGTTATGCTACAAATAACCCTTAAAATAACTTTATAAAACATCTTCTAAACATAGACTGAGTCATGATTACCAGCAGCAATGGGTTCTAGAAAACGCATTATATAGGGGGAATTGTTTTAGGGAAGTGGTAGTGTTATTTTTAAGGCTAAATCAACAAGGGCAAAGTCATATGGAACAAACAACACGCTTCTTCTAAACTGACCTAAGAAAAGGTAAGAATGATGGAATAAATCTTGAAATTGAAGATTAAAGGCTACAGAGTCCTTTATGGGACAGAATAAACCTCAAACCCAGACTGCATATTTTAGGTCTATGTAAATACTTGTGTTTGAGGATGTCTAATTGAAAACACTAAGTCCCTCCTCAGGACCCAGATGAAAACCTCTGTGCATACACTCCAGACAATGGAGCAGGATAATGACCAGGAAAGCCATTCAATATCAACAACATTCACTTGGAAATTGTTGACCCTTCTCATTTCTAACAAGTATTGTATGGAAATGAGTTTAGGATTTCATGTCAAGACGTTAAAAAATTCCCAGAAAAAGTCAAAATTTAGAGTTTGACATTATTCTATCAGAAAACTGGATTCCAAAGCCTATGATCTGCTTTAAAAATGCCTCACTCGCCTCAAATACAACAGAGTTTGATACAAGAAAAACATAAATACGACTAACTGAACTCTACCTAGGCTAGATTTTTCTGTGTTGGCACCTTTTTGTACTCTCTCCAGAAGCGATAACACAGCAGGTGTTTATGTTGGAGTTTTTCTCTGGGTCAATGGTTGCTTGTCCTAGTAAAAGAAGATGCACAATCACCACTCAACTCTAGCAAGGAGGTTATGGAGCCCAGTGAAAACTCTCCAAATCACTGTTGAAGCAGTGCTAGGAAGGAAAAGGAAAAAAGGTCCACCCTCTCTCACCTGGAAGTTATTTTTTCTGCCCAAAACAAGTGAAAAAGTAATAATATTTTCAAACATCTTTAACAAAAAACAACAACAACAACAACAAAACCAACAAACTCTCCTAAAGGAACAGTTTATATTATTCTTTTTTCTATAACTAAAAAGGATGTCACTTCAAGAGACTGATGATTACCTTCACTTTTCTTATCCCTCAAAAGGGCTCAGCCCTTTGGCCTTGTGTCTAATGACAAGGGAACAGCAAACCTCCCAAAGCAGGGAGCCCTAATGGACAGGAAGAGTTTTCTTCTTGTATTGCAAAATTTGCCAGTTTTCTGCTGCCCTACAGCAGAATTACCTGGAATTACCCTGGAATCCAATTGCAGAAGAGCCTGAGGAAATTGTTGTCCCAACTTTTTTGTATTATCATAGTCTGTCACTTTTTCATCAGACAAAGGGTTCCAGTTATGGGCAACTCCCAGCTGACATTCAGCATGTACCTTGTTTAAAGAGTTTGAAAATAACATAGGTCTTTACTCACCATGAAACTTCATAAATGTGTCTCCAGGACCATGCAAATGTGACTGTATGTACTTACCAAAGCCTGTACAGGGATCTTTGCAGCATGGTAGACAGCTTGTTCTTCAGAAAACTCCATGTGCCTCTGTGCTGCAGCCCCACCAAACCTCCGTGAGCAGTGTGGACACTGAATGTAGTCTGACCATAAAAAAGGAACAGCTTGTGTCACACTTTATACAGTACAGGAGAAAAATTGCCCTGCTTTACTGGAGCACTCAAGATGCAGTTCAAAACCTGGCTCCACCAGCAGGTAACCATGATGAGTTCCCATCAGCTCCCAAAGTACAAACCTCGGAGTACTACAAAAACTTTCTCCAGAAAAATACTTGGGATTTTAAAATACGTGCTTATGGTATTAACCCAGCAAACAGTAATTGCTTTCAGAAATAAATCCCTGCGGATTAATAAAAGCAGATTTTATTATCTTTGTCCTATTCCTAGCCACCCCCAACCTCATAATAAACAAGTCTGCAGGAAAGGCATTATTTAAAAATTCCTAGCATAGACAAACCCAATCATTTTAAGACTACTTTTGAAGACTTATCATTAAGGCTGCTATTTTGTTGAGGTGGCAGCAGCAGCAATTGAAGTAGATTCAGGGATGAGGGTTAGATAGACCTGTACAGAGGGTTCCTGAGCCCAGGGACACCTGAGCATCAGGTGGAGTTGCATCCTTCCATCCCTGAGAGAAATGCAGCAGCTGGAAGCCCAGAAAGTCAGAGGAGCCCTGCCCTCTTGCCATCAGGCAGAAGACATAAAAGGAGGGGAGTGGAAACTGCCTGGGGAGGTAGAAAAATCCTTTCCAGGCCTCCCTCACCTTTCCAGGAGCCCTTACAGAATAGGTATGAGGCTCTGGAATTCGAGGGTCAGGCAGATGACAGTGAAAAAGAACATCTTTCTAGAGGGACCTCCCAGATCAGTGCAGTCAATCAGGCAGACTACAGCTACAGGTATTAAGAAAAAAAGAAGGGTAGTCATAGTGGGTGACTCACTTCTGAGGAGAACTGTGAGTCCTGTGGAGCCATCCCACAGGGAAGTCTGCTGCTTCCCTGCAGCCCAGGGAAGGGACATTACCAGGATACTCCCTGGACTAACTTGGATGAATACTGAAAGGAACAGGAAGACCCATATGATCAACAAGTAGCTTAAAGAGTAGTGCCATCAGTGGAATTTTGGTTTTTTCTTGTCGTGGGCTGGGCTGTTTATACAGCATCAGGCCTGCTGGAGACAGATGGGATTCACCTGTCTGAAAGGGGGAAAAGGAATCAATGCAGTATGGGTAACAGACAGAAGGAATTGGTAGCCATTGTGCAGCAGGAGAGATATGACATTGTTCCCATCACGGAAATGTGGTGGGATGACTCACATAAGTGGAGTGCTGCAGTGGATGGTTATAAGTTCTTCACAAGGGACAGGAGAAGGAGGAGAGGTTGTGGGGTGACTCTGTACCTTAGGAAGTGATTTGATTGCATAGAGCTTGAGGGAAGGAGAATGAGGTTGAGTTCCTATGGGTGAGAATCAGGGGGAAGGCTAGCAAGGCAGATATCCTGGTAGGAGTCTGTTATAAACCACCTAACCAGTATGAAGAGGTGGATGAATTGTTCTATAAGCAGCTGGCTGATGTTTCACAATCGCCAGCCCTTGTTCTTGTGGGAAACTTTAACCTGCTGGAAACTTAGCACAACAGAGAGGAGGCAGTCTAGGAGGTTCCTGGAGTGTGTGGAAGACAACTTGCAGTCGCAGCTGGTAAGTGAGTCTTCTGGGGGTGGGGCCCTGCTAGACCTGATGTTTACAAAGAGAGAAGGGCTAGTGTGAGATGTGGTGGTCAGAGGTTGTCTTGGGCACAGCAACCACGATGTGATAGTTATCAAAAATTGGTGAAGTAAGGAGGGGTGTCAAAAAAACCTCTGTGCGGGACTTCTGGAGGGCAGACATTAGCCTATTCAGGACACTGGTTTAGAGAGTCTCTGGAGAAGCAACCATTAAAACCAAAGGGGCCCAGGGAGACTGGACATGCTTGAAGAAAAAAATCTTGAAGGTGCAGGAGCAGGCTGTCCCTATGTGCCGAAAGATGAGCCAACAGGGAAGATCAGCCTGGCTGAGCACAGAGCTTTCTCAGGAACTCGGGGAAAAAAAGAGGGTGTATTACCTTTGAAAAAAGGGGCAGACAACTCAGGAAGTGTTATTAGGTCATGTAGAGAGAAGACTACAGAGGCAAAAGCTCAGTTAGAACTTTAACCTGGACACTTGTGTTTTTATAAATACATTAATAACAAAAGGAGGGCCAAGAAAAACTTCCGTTATTTATTGGAGCTGCATGGGAATATAGCCACGAATGATGAGGAACAGGCTGAGGTACTTAACGCCTTCTTTGCCTCAGTCTTCAATAGTAAGATCGCTTATCCCCCTGGCCCCCTGCTGGTAAACAGGGATGGGGAGCAGAATGGACACCCTATAATCCAGGAGGAAGTAGTTTGTTACCTGCTGAGCCACTTAGATGCTCACGAGCCTATGGGACCAGATGAGATTCATCCTAGGGTGAGGGAGCTGGCAGAAGCACTTTCCATCAGTCCTGGCTAAGCAGGGAGGTCCCGGAAAACTGGAGGTTGGCTAATGTGATTCTTCCCCTGTACTCAACACTGGTGATGCCACACCTCAAATCCTGTGTTCAGCTTTTGGCCTCTCACTTCATGAAGGACATTGAGGTGCTGGAGTGTGTCCAGAGAAGGGCAACAGAGCTGGTAAAAGCAATGGAGCACAAGTCCTGTGAGGAGCAGCTGAGGAGTGGGGGTTGTTTAGCCTGAAGAAAAGGGGCTCAGGGGAGACCTCATCACTCTCTACAACTACCTGAAAGGAGATTGTAGCCAGGTGGGGGTTGGCCTCTTCTCCCAGGCAATGAAGGACAGGACAAGAGGACACTGTCTTAAGCTGCGCCAGGGGAGGTTTAGGTTGGACATTAGGAAGAATTTCTTCACAGCAAGGGTGAATAGATATTGGAATGGACTGCCCAGGGAGGTGGTGGAGTCACCTGAAGGCATTTAACTGAATGTGGCACTTAATGCCATGGTCTAATTGACATGGTGGTGTTGGGTCACAGGTTGGACTCTATGATCTCAGAGGTCTTTTACAGCCCAATTCATTCCAGGATTCTGTGATTTAGCAAAACACTGCTGAAGAAGTTGTGCCCCACCAGTCAAGCCACATCTAAGAGCCAGGTTTCTGGGTGTGAAGCAGCATGGTGAAGAACACAGTGGTGCTTTCTAAAGTCTTTTTTGACAGTTTTACAGTCCTGATTCTACTAAAAGCTATTCAGTGCCACATGGCTGGTGCAGTTCGACTCATTTCAATGAACAGTGTTCAGGGTCAGTGCAGTCACAATTCAGCCATCACACCACCCTTGCCATCTCCAGACCCTTTCTCCCTGTCCAGTGCCTTTTCTACAAAAGAAGCCCAAGTGTTCTTATCCCAAATACTAAGGATATAGCATTTTTACAAACCATTTCTCTCTGTAACAACACAGAAAAAATGGTGCAAGCAGCCATCAAAAGCCAGTTCCAGACCAGCAGCATGGGCATAATGGTTCTGAACCCAGAGGAGGGGAGGACAAGATAGGGCAGATGCCTGGCTTTAGGGGGCTGGTAGGCCACCTGGAACTTCAGGGGAGAATGGGGAGGTTTTGGGTTCTGTTTGGAGAAGGATGAGAGGATAAGGGAACCTCCCTCTCCTTTCCAAAATCCATGTACTTTCTCTCCAGTCCTATAGTATGGGAATATATAGCCCTGTAGTATAGGATATACACACTAGGCCACTCAGCAATTTGTCCTCCCTAAAAAGCAGTTATTTACTTCCTTTCTCCACAACTACTCCTGCTCTTGCAGACCTTGGTTTCCTCCAATAGGGAGAAGGAAAGGGAGGGTCTGCTCTTAAAGTTGGTAGACAAGAAATAACAGAATCATTAAAGAATTCAGCAGTGGAAATTCAGAGAGAAGTTTGACCCCCGTCAAGAAAGGAAGAGGTGTCCTGCTGCTTATACTGCATCACCATCATCTAGGAGAGGAGAGAGGCTGGAGTCATGGCAGATGCTTTTGCTATCAGTCATGAATTTCTACTCTAGAAGTGAGCCCAGAGAGCCCCCCCATCCCCCTCCTGCTCTCCGCCTTCCTAATGCAGGCAGGACTCCACTGAAACCCTTTCCAAGATTGCTCCCACATTTTATAAATCACATTATCATAAGATATTGGCTGTACGTGCATCATTTTGGATCTGTAACTTGTAATACAGTGAGCTCTGTGCAGAGACCAAATCTGGTATTTGTAGTAAACCAAACCTGTCTTTTGCTAAATGACTTCCCCTGACTGCACAGCTGGGTGGGGAAGGGGACAGTGGAAAAGCCACCACGTGGGAGTGGTGTGCTTATGTGCAGTGCAGTTGTTTTGAATAGCAAGAGGATGTATTTCACGCTCTGTTATATTACAGTACAGCTATCCTGACTCTCCGCCCAAAGCGTTAATGTCAGATCCCAAGCTTGCTGCCTTTAAACTTAAGAGGTACAGTAAGTTTTCTCTTCCTCTTCACTGCCTCAGCTTTGCACTCCTACGCAATTATGGAGGGCATTAATGCTCCCATTGTGTTGTGCCAAGGGTGCAAAACTGAAGCCCATCTGCGGTTAATAAGAGGTCACTGCTTTACCAAAGATCAGTCCAAGATCAGCAACAATATAAAGAGGACCCCAAACCTGGATTCATGCTTGGCGGGGGAGGCGGTAGAAGAGGGTGGCCTTCCTTCACAGCTTTTGTGACTTGCTTGGCTGATTGAAAAGTATTAACAAAATCCTCTGCTTCGAGTTAGATTTCTTCCTTAGCTGTTTCTGTAATGGAAATAAGAGAAGACACAAACTATACTTCTCCCAAGCAAGGGTTCTTCCTTTCTGAGGGAAAAAAAAAGCGCATTACAAACAAAAGAAATTTGCTTTTTTTGGAAGGCAGAGGAAAGCTGATTTAGACCTTCGCTGTCTATTGACAGCACTAGAAAATGGATAAAAGAACAATGCACTTCAGCAGAACACCCTGGTCGTGGCAGACCAAAGAGTGCTTAAGAGGGAATAGAAAAGACACTATGACCAACACCTTCCCTTCACCACTTGTCACATTCTTCTTGCTTTAAACCTTTGTGCACTTCTGTTTCTTTGCAAAACTGATTTTAAAAGACATTCTACAACAGCAGTCTGCATGGATACCCAATCAGCAACGGTTTGGCACCTCTGAGTAAAATAATACATATGCATATCCATGTGTATTCCCCTCCTCCCCAACAAATATACTTGTTCCAGTAAAAGCTTAAGCATCTTCTCCTCCATCTCTGTAAATAAGTTCAATTCAAATACATTTTTAAAGCCTTCAGTTCAATAGCAGTGAATCTCTTAACTTAAGGGGCACTGACAGCTCTCAGGTTCAACCTGGGGCATTCATGTACCAACCCTCTTGGATCATGCTCTCGTTCAGATTTAGGTGAAGATGAAGCTGTTAGACTCTCATATCGTCTTTAAAATGCATATTTTGACATTTCCCAGAAGAACAGAGACACTGACATACCCAGGGTAGTCACGACACCTACTGATTTGGCTTCTCAACAGAGAAATATTCCCAAACACTAGCCGCACAGGGAGGGGGAGGAAAGAATTTGGCACCCGGTCAAGCACATATGTGAGACTCATCCATAACATCCAGGCTTTGTCCTTGGAGGAAACAATAGTGTTACTGAATGAAAGACTTCATATGGAGATAACACACACACACTTCAATTTTAACTACAGCTTTTGTGGGGGCTGCTTCTTCACAGTGGTGATTTCCCTGCAGTCTCCGTTTCAAAATGCTGAAAGGCTTGCACTTTCCATTGAAGGCTTTCTTGCACATTGGATCGTGTATCAGCTGGGATCCAAAGAAAAACATTTTTTTAATGGGTTGGAGTCATGCTTTGTTAATGATGCTTCCTTGTTCAGGCTTTAAAATTACTTATATTCAGGAGCAGGGACCTGCAGAAGTATTTATTTTGGGTTCAGTTTAACTCCTGAAGGAGTTCATCAAAACTTTAAAAAGCTATCCAAGTACAGCTGCAGTTCAGCACAAATAAGAAATAGAAGCCATTTCCAGTTAGTTCTGCTCAGGGACATGCTGGAAGCCAGTACAAACAACGACTTGCAGAAAAGAACAAACTGCGTCTGTGAACAGGAGCTGTCCCGTTGGACTCCTCCACCACACCTGGTTTTCTTTCCTTTTTTTTCTTAAGAAGGAAAACAGTCTGATCCTGTTCAAGGGGCCAGGATTTACATTCTTAGTTCTCTGAGTTTAGATAAGTATTTCAGAGTGGGGCCTCCTCTGACAAACAGCAGTGCTGTCCTTCCTACCAACACCACTGAACTAGCCACAGCCCCAGACTGAATTGGAGCAGTTGCCTACCAGCACCCATAACTTGACAGCACAGAAGGAAAACTACAGATAGCACAGAAAAATTTTAGGTAGATAGATATCTAATGCCAAATTTTAGCATCAACTTCACTTTTCTTATTTTCTTATTAAGTAGCTGCCTGAGCAAGGCATTTTGGTTGCAGCTCAGCTGGACCAAAAAGAAACCCATTCTACTCCAACACATTTTGAAATTCTCATTTCCCTTTGAACCTTTTACTCATGCACTTCAGGTCTTTATCCTCTCTTTCTAGACATTTTTGACAGCAAACTCAAGAAGAATACTCCTCTGACCAAAAGAGCAGCAAATACCTATGCCTTGCCCACTGAGGAGCATACCAGTCCTGTATCACTGGGGCACAGAGAGCCATTATAAGACTTGTATTTCACACTAGTCACAGTGACATGAAACTTCTCACCTCTCCCAAAATGTAGATGTATCTCTTTTCAAACTGTTTTGCTAAATTAAACCATTGTGTTCTTCCCGCACCTGATCTGAGATACCAGACATGAAACTACCAACGCAGAGTAGTTGCACCTTTGTCTTGGTGCTCCACGGTCACTCAGATTCAAGCGTATTGTTCTTGGTTTTTTTTTTTTTCCTAAATCAGTTTTCCGTTCTATTGCAGGGATGATCTGATCTACCTCAGAGGCACAGGATCAGTAACACAAACTGAGGAGCAGAGGGGTGCATGCAGAGCCCCACCCCTGCAGAAAAAACGTGCAGTTGAGTTGTGCCAGGCAAACTGTGCAGCCACCCATTCAGTTTGTAATCCAGGGATCAGAGAGGTCAAGGGGAATCTTTTCATTCACTTCAGCAGGCTTTGGAACAGAGCCTGGTGTCCACATTATGCTGTCAAAGGGACTACTTATCAGATGGTTTATTAGTCTGTTTTTCCCAAGAAGCCTCAAATAACAAATTCAGCCTAAAAACCTGGAACAAAAAGGAAGCTTCAGGTTAGTAATTTATGCCTCACCAAGAGAAAATACGTTATTTTAAATTCAATATAAAAGAAATTTTTGGACATGCTTTTGAATAAGAAGGTAAATTAAGACAGTGCAAGACTGAAAATGAAGTCACAATACTTCTGTACACATCGATTAATTCTCCAATCAAGTTCACTAATGAAAGCAGTTACTAGATAATTTGCTGTTTTAGAAGTGTTCAACCCTCTTCTCTACTAGCAGTCACCTCCTCCTTCCCCTTTCACTTAAATGCATTGGCATTCCCATTAAAAAAAAAAAAAAAAAAAAAGATTTTTGTTTTACCAGAACATCTTGTACAGAATGTTTTCCACAGGTTGTAGAAGGAGCCAGATCTTGACTTCAGGCAGCTGTGTAAAATGCAAACCATGCAAGAGTCTGTTACACAGTACAGGACAGCTTGACTACACCAGAGTCGGCACTTGGACTGAGCCCTTGCTGAAACAGTACTTCATTGTCAGAAAGGGACATCTCCATAGAATCACAGAATATCCTGAATTGGAAAAGGCTCACAAGGATTACAGAATCCAACTCACCAGTTCCATGCCAGGGTTCCCTTTTGCAGAACTCCCTCCTTATTTACCCTGTTCCTACTAAGCACAAGCTCTCCTTTGCTGCAACAGGCAGCATTCTGTTTTGCACATGACTGCTTAGGTATGTGCATTCACAATGACATCACGGTTGGCTGAGGAGATGATGGAACACTAAAGTTCATCGCTCTCTAAATTCAGGGAGGGGGGCTGGGAAGCAAGGGCAGGTGATCCGCACCAAGATTTACTCTATTTTGTTTGGAAGTCAGTAGGAGCTAATGACACCCTGTAATGGCTCAGGCTAAACTGCTGCTATTTCAGAAGGTAGAAGGTGCCATGCAATGTGTGACTTGATCATTATTAAAACAGAACATTTTCACGATATGCTAAACAGCATTCCAAGATGATCTTACTTTGTAGATGTCAATTTTTTGGGGATGTTTGTTTTTAAATCAGTAATTTTTTGGAAAAAAATAGGTGTTAAAGTTACATGGAAAGTAGTTTTAGGCCCCTCTGACACCAAATGCAGTCACATACACTCACTCATTTCAGAGCAGGGACATTATTTTTATTAAACAAAAGCATTCCTTAGGAAAACTTGAATAACACAGTCCTTTTCATTAGACTGGTAACGCTACAGAGGTACTTCTCTGAATTAACTTCTGTAAGGACTTCTCATTTAACTGTTCTTTACCTGCTCTTGCTAAAACAAAAGAAATCTTTGTCTTGCTAAGCAGATGAGTGACTGGTTTTGTTTCTTACCTTTTCCTTAGGACTTTACCATACTCCAAGGCACAGAGTTAACATTACTACAGTGTTTCATTGATTGCAAGTGGAACTAAGCAATTCCATAACTTTTAAACAAAGGCAATAGAAAAAAGAGTCAAAAATGTCTTTTCTCTTTTGTTCCCAATCAACAGCTGTGTCTGTCCTGAGGCTGGATTATACTCTTCCTTTCAAGAGTCTTCCTCTGCCTCCCCCACCTCTTTATCCTTTTTCATCCCCTCAAGGTTTTGACTGATAGAGGAGCTTTTTTTTTTTTTTTTTTTTTTAAAGAAAAAGGACTTTAGCTACAAGCACAGTATCATTGAATCAGCAATGAGAAATCTAGCAGTGCACCGTCCTTTTTAGTAAATCACAAAATCACATTCCACACAAACAACTGAACAGCGTCTCTTACTCACTTGTTCCATTTAACTTCTTTCCTGGTATCTGACTCATCTCAACAGAACTGCTTCTCAGATTTCCTTTTCTGTGTTGTTGTTAGGAGTCACGAGTACTAGGTGGTCAGTATTCATTACTCAAAAGCTCACCATCCAAGTTACCACCCTACCAGTGATTACATTAGCAATTATGACACAGGCAGACCCTGCTCAAGCTTGTGAAACACATGAAAACTAGTACAGGTAAAGGAAACTAGCTAAAGGAAAACTGAAACTTTTTCCTAATCTTACAGATGATTTCTGATTCCGTTAACAGAACATTTTAGAAAACGAAGGCCTAATCTAGATGTGTATACTGCATTGACACTTTAGTTTTCTGAGCAGTGATCAAGAGACTTGTTGACTCAAATACCTCTTTATTCCCTTCTCAAAAATCATCTTACTTTACCAGAATATATTAAAAAAGCCTCCCTCCAGTAAAACCAAGTACTTTGAATTGTTTCTGTACATTAAACAGCCTCATCAGTCCCTCTGCTAGCTTGTATTCACTTAGTATTCACAAAAGTATTTTAGGAATATTTCAAATGCTTTGAATTCAGCAGTAGTTAGGCCCCCCCACTGATGTGTTGGTTACTGTGTTCCTTACAGTATAATGGTTAACTTTTCACCTAAAGACAGAAGACTGCTCAGTCCATAGCCTAAAGACCTAAGCATGAGGGATTCTTAATAATACAGAAGGATTTCTGACTGACTACAAATACTATTAATTTCGTTCACATGTAATGGACTGGCCACTATCAAAATAACTCACATACACAGCATAAACATTTAAGATCATACCAAGCCTAGATTCTGGCCCTCTGCTCATCTTCAAAAAGTTGTGTTGGGTCTTAAGCTTGTATTTCAATGAAACCAAACAGAATGCAAGACCTGAGAAAGAGTATTTCAGGAAAATCAAGACCATGACTATCTACTACATTTTCTAATTATCTGCAACATTTTTCTAATTATCTCCTGTTTTGTTTTCCACACTACTGGGAGTGAATACTTTCAGCAAAGCCAATTCCAATAGCAATGGTAAGGGGTCATTAACTACTGTAACTGCAACATCTGTTGAAATACATCTTATTTCCCATGAAACATAAAAGCTAGGTTAGGAAACAGGGATGTCCAGCTACACAACAGCTTTTCAGACACCTCTGCTTACAAAAGCTTATTCTACAGCTTTTGTAATAGTACCAAAACAATAAATAACTTACCCAGAAAAGAACTAAGGTGAAGGGGGTGAAAACTCCTTGACTTTCAAAACTGTGCTATGTCAAGGCACTATATTCAACCAGCAGTATAAGAGAAAGAAGACATAAATGAAAATACTGCTATGTAAAATGAAATAATAGAAGAATTTAATCAGATCAAATGTGCAGGATTCTGCTGATTTGCTGAATACATTCAAATATATATATATAACACCCTGTTCAGCATGTAATAAAAATAGATTTTATAATTTTAATACATTTATACTGTAATGAAACTTTGCAACAGTTCCCCTGTCATTCACAACAGAATAAACATTACTAACACGCTGTTTGATGTAGAATTTAATTTCAGAAAGAATAACAAATTACTGCGTCTTGTTGCAGTGAGATCTTAACAACCCCCTCTGAGCAGGACTGGCAAAGTTCTCCAGTTGGCAGTTCCCTTTCTCAATACAAATGAGAACTTAAGGATGTTTCCACAATAAGCTTCTCAGTTTCATTAAGACAGCTTCAGTCCTTGAACGTTTTGTTTCAGATTGAGCAACTCTTTCTCT